AAATAATTTCTGTAACACAAGAATGTATATGTGGGTAGGGCTTGTATATGGGCAGAACACAAGGGGGCCCCATAATCTCATATTCCCCAGGGGCCCCATGTGTTGTCTTTCCGTCCCTGCATGCACTTAACATAAATAACAAAATGTTTTCAATGCCATATTTAAATGGGAAGTTTACCCTAATTTTACCCTAAAATGACAAGGCACCTTTAGAAATGTTCAGTAATGGCAATCTACAAACAGCTACTTCTAGATAATTGCCGACTTTTTATTATTTGCATACCTTATGAATTCTTTTCCTCACCATTTTTCTCACGGGGGCAGATTAATATTGTAGCGTCCCCCTTACTCGGTCAGCGATATCCCAGCACAGGATAACACTACCGGTGGCTCTAAAGGGGTGATCTACAGTAAATTAACTAACGGGTCTCCCTATATAAGAAACCTCTTTAATGGATCCACAGGACACCAGAACACCTTGAGTGCTAGGGTCAGTTGCTATGGGTTATGGCAGCTCCGAAATCTTGTCTAGGGATAAATTCACTTGCTTTTTCTCATCAGCACTTACCACCCTTTCTGGTAATCGTCCAGACTGTAGATATGATGCTTGAAACCTTTATTGCAGAACTTCAGGAAAAGAGAGGCAAAGGGTTAGGATCATCCAGGCAGATGTAGACTCCATTGCACTGCAGAGTGTGGTTATTGTCTTCATGCACAGCAGGTAGAACACCTGGCATAGCACTACTTGAGGTAGACGTTAATAGTCCTTGTCCTCAATAGCAACCACTGGACCTGCTGCTATCAGGGCCCATGGTCATTACATGGCTAGTCCCCAGGCCTTAGGCCTAGCCATCTCAGACAATCCATGGCAGCCTCCCCACAGGCTGGGCCCAGGGGAGGAAGAGAGCTTGCATGGTCCACCCCATGAATGTATCTACTCCCCCAGCATGCACCACTGGCCATCATCTAACAGTGATAAGCTGAAGAGGTATTCACTCATAGCAGTCTCCCACTGGTTGCTCTGATCTGTGACCAGGGCACACCCTGTAGTACACCTAGCAGCAGACAGATGCAAACAATGACAGACTGTGTAGGGGAAACCAAGTGAAGCCAGACTACAAATCAGCATCAGACCACATACAATCTGATATTACAAATTTTAATAGCACTATTTCCAGTAGGGTGCTACTCCCTTTACTTCCTGGAAACTGTTGCATGTGACTAGGACATGTGACCATGCACATCATCTCAGGGGAGATTTTAAAGTTTACAGATTAAATTTCCCAGCAATTCAATGTGATGTAACCCTCCCAAGATGCAACTCTTAGGCATGCGCTACATCACTAATGCCTAAGAGGACCAGGAAGTGGAAAAACTGTAATTGTAAGTAAAAGATAAATATGTAAATGTAACTAATCAATGTAAGATGATTTTATATCAGCAAGCAGAGCTGCATGCTGAGGTGATCTTTAGTGAAAGGGGGTAAAAGTCCACCTTAACAGACAAAAGGGTTTACATACGCTTTAAGGCCCCTGTAGAACAGAAAATGTGCCCACCCTGCTTACCCGTGCTTCTGTTCTGCTTCCCCTTACAAAGGAATTTCACACGTTCAGACACATTTATTAAGCGGTTATTTATTATATTTACATACTGTATAAAAGGATAAACCAGATGTACAAATAGTGCAACAAACATAAATTATTATTCATTTTCATATTTGTAGCATACAGCATCTATTACATTTCAACAGACAATACACTGTGGGGTAGCATTCAAGAAGACTACAGATCTGTTCATCCATAGTGCTACAACAGAAGCTCTTCACATCATAACCAGCAGCAAGAAAATTCCTTCTTTCCTTTCTTCTACTCCTGCCGTACCTTCCTGACATCAGGTTTAAACATGCAGTGAGAGTAGCTAGTCACACTCCGTTTATACCTCAAGACGACAGCTAGATATATGAAAGGAGATTATCAGCAGGCAAAACGAAAATAAAAAAGTTACACTCTGATAAAGTTTTGTCAATACTCTCAGGAATTTGGAGAGTATAAGGAGAATAACCACATTTTTGGAGAGTTTAGCTACAAATTAGTCCATGGTTGTATACCCTTTTATAGTTCTTATTTGAAACTTCAATGTATTTTCCAGAATGTTTAAAGGGTACCCTTAAAACATTACTGCCTTACCTATGGGCACCTAAAATACTGGTGTGTCAACATTTGAATGAGTAGCATACAGATGAAACAGCTCAACAACATGGCAGCACCATTTTATCTCAGTAGATAAGCCAGTATACAAATATTTTCGGCAGGTGAAAGGTAATAAGGTCCCAGTCAATAGCGAGCAGTAGGGGAGACCTTTTTATTAATTTCTAATTTGATGAATCTGGATTGTGGCTCAGATTTATCAAGATGTGGGTGTTCCTATTCTTGGATGTTCCTATTCTTGGATGGACTGCAAAGTCCTGGGTGCTGTCGTCAATCTTGCTAAAGATTTTAACTAATGCAGGGCATGTGGACTACAAGGATTGTTCTTTTTTCTCTCAAAAATTGATGAGGAATACATTTTTGATGAGGAATAGTCGCAAGTCAATATCCAGCATGCTGGAAAAGACCTTTAAGGTAAGCTGGTCACACATGGCCTCAAATTTCGGGCAATCCCTGCCGAAATTCGAGACATGGGTTCTATTGATTATCTCTTGTTCGGTCTACAAGATAAATCTGGGTGTGTATGGTTAGGGCTAGCATGTATGGCTTGCCTAACTTTGCACTAGGACTTACTGCATGTCGTACACTCATAAGCAGCAGGTTCACCACTCAAAGTAAGGTGGCCAGCCTTAGCAATCCTAATTCACTCAAGGTGGTGCATGCCTGGTAAAGCAGTAATTTATCTGTTATAGTGGTAGAAAAGAAAAAGAAAAGAAAAACAAAGTCTATATTCTTTTACTGTGGAGGACTACCAACCTCAGCTAGTCCAACCATACAGAAATCTAAAAAAACAAAAATGAAAGAAAACCCATGTCTAAGAAAAAAAAAATGATACTCACAGTTTTATCATCATAAACATACAGCTATACAAAATATAAAGTCACACTAAACAAAATAAGAGAACTAGAACACAGAAAAATTCAGTGACTTGGTACTGTCCTATTACAGTTTATATCAGATATAGTCTGGATTTGTACTAATTAGAACATTCACAAAACTTTATCAAAGGCTAACTTTCATTTTAGTTTTGGATAGCGTAGGGAAGGGTTAACCCCTGCCGATTTACTTTTTGTTCCATGTTAACTCATTTGGCAGACTTCCATTTACTTCTTGACTTAACAGGAAGTGAAAAGAAAACCTCACCAAAAGTTAGGTGAATTCCCCTCTTGTCACCAGTATCCCCATCATAAGATTTACCCTCATCTCCTGTTCTAGTAATAGCGTCACAGTTATGAATTTTCTCACTAGAACAATCAAAAAGGGTGAACCTACCAAGCGAGGACACAGACAGCAATTAAAATATCACAGGGTTTCCAACCCTTCCCAACTGTATATAAAACTAAAGAATAAAAAAGTTGTGGCTTATATACACTTTAGGCCCATTCACGCCACCCAATAACAAAGCATATGCTTTATGTCCTATGATTTTGTTTATGACAAATATGTGTTGAAAAAGAAAAAAGGATATATTGTGAAGTGCGGTTCAATGTGCTGTAACTCCGTGTGATGCCCTGTATTCCAGAGGAAAAATAAAGCACTGCAATGTGTGTCAACTAAACATTATAGCTAAATGTACACCACTCAATACATTCCCATTGAATACGTTCCTCCACAAGGCCTAGAGTAAAGGGTTGGTCCAGCAACTTCCAGATGGTTGGCTGGTGTCAGCACATGGAAAAGAACATGCGTCACCAGCAAACATTGATCTGTAATGAATAGTCTATTGAAGCGATCACATGACAAACTCTTTGTCAGGCATGTGACACCACGTACAATAGCATGCAAGCTATGCATACAATAACATGCGTGCTGTAATGTGAATGGGCCCTTAGGCAACTCTGTTTCTAAAATGAAATGTCCCAGTAAATGTTTCTTTGAAGAGAGTTCATACTTGTCTTTCCTGCCACCCATACAGCTGGAACAAAAAGTAAAAGGTGCCTAAAGTCTCTTTAGAAAGCAACACTTGTGAGAGTGCCTCGCTGCGCTTAGTGGTTCCACCCACATGTTCTCTACCATCGTAGGAGGTTAGTGTCAGGAACCAGTGAGCACAGCAGGGACCAGAAATCAGATCGATTTCCTAAGAGTCTTCAGGTGGCCGCTTTATTTCAATCCAGCATGGATTGAAGGGTGGCAGGAAAGGTTAATATACATTTTCATCTTTGCAGGTACATATATTTGGAACATTTTATTTTAGTGACTTTATGCTGTACAAACGCTTGCAGATATGGCAGCCCCTTACTTACTATTCCTAGCTTAGGGTAACCTGTTCAGCACCAGGTTTGTTCATCCACTGATATGAACACATCTGAGCACTATGGACAGACCACACACTCGTATAACCATTTTTTACTTCCCCAGCCATTTAATACTGCAGCACATACAGGTTGGTGCCAGTACCGAAATGAGCCAATAACTGTAGAGATACAAAACTTCTAATGGTTCTTCTTCTCAATCATATGTTGGTACTTTGCTTTTTTACCTATACGGCAAGAGAGTCTTTATATTCACAGTGTATAACGCAATCATAGATGTATTGCTCAAGGAGTAGAAAATACTGATTGGTTCAAAAAGATAACAAATACTATGAAATCTTTTTTGTTAAACCCAACAGTAAAAAATTAATTTAAGTAAATTACCAGGAATACACTCCTTGCACAAAAGTATAAAATATGTTGTCCAGCAAGAAAGTCAAACTGTAAAGCCCGGCGCAGCAGACAATAAGTTAATCAGTTGGGATCTTGAAAATCAACGGCATAAGAAAGTCAGTAGTACACGGGGAAAAAAAAGTCTGTTTTGACTTATTGCACTCATGCCCTTGTTTGTTCTCTGCTGAGCTGCGACTTCCCCGCGAGTAGCTGCTGACTTAGCAGTGCATTATGACGCTGAAGATACTCTATCGTATCACCTTGTTTTTCAATGATTTCTTCTAAACTCGATCCTTCCCTAAAAAAAATATATATATATAAAAATAAATATAGATGTCATGTCGAAAGTATCAGTACATTGAACTTATACAAGAATACATGCTGTAAATAAATTTGCCTCATACCGACACACAGCCATTTCAACTGCTGAATAAAACAGCTCTTAAGTACTTTCTATGACATATGTCCAAAATATTTCTAACTGTGTTGGCATTCTATATTTAAAACAACTGTTATAATTGTATGTAATGTGCATCCCATGTTTTTGAGCCACAATTCCGTTAAATGAGCTGCAATAAAAAAAAAAATGGACATGTAGGACAACAAGGTGATGGTCACTGCTTAATCCAGCTGTTTTCAGCTACATCTAATCATTCTCAAGACTAGCTGTTTTTATACACTAAGCTCCAAAAAGTGTATCTAAAGACAAAACGGTTTTGTTTAGTTATGGATAGAGTATGGAATGGTTAAAACTAGGGATGCGCCGATACCAGTTCAGATACCAGTGCCATTTTATCTCAGTAGATAAGCTTAAGATAAGCTTAAGATTAAATCATTAATCTATATTGTTTTAGAAAAACTGTCACATGACAATAAACAAAAATGTATCAGTACCTGTATCTGTAAGTACTTGGGCAAGTATCAGTACTTGTACTAGCAAAAATGGTATCGGTTCATCTCTTTATTTATATTTATAAAAACAAAATCATACATTAAAACAGAGATGTACAAATCCCAGGAGCTCTGTATGCTCCTTACAAATGACAGCTTCTTCCTAACTTTTGAATTTTTCTCTAGTCTAGTCTTGGAGCTGGAAAAGTATCTGTACTTGTACCGAGTATGGTACTTGGTATCGGTGCATCCCTAGTTAAAACCCATGTAAAGTTTTATTTTGCAGTTTGTCCTGTTGGGGAGATTTGCAATCACTTCCTGCCTCAAGGATACAACAGAAAGTGAGAAGAAATCTCCCATAGTGTGGAGTAATCTACTCTTAGGTCTTAATCTTAGTGATCACTAGAAAAGGTGTCCCACTGGAAGATCTCCCATTGCTTCCTGTTCTGGTAACATCTGTAAAATTTGTATTTCACATCACTTTCTGTCATGGTGACACCAGCAGATCAAATCACCCACTTGATTTATATAATTTTATGCGGCTTTGTTAGGGAGTTATGTTCTCCGGTCCACCCACTGGCTGTGGTTGTTATTAAGTGGACCCACTCTCCATGAAGCATCTTTCAGTTCTACCGATTGGAAATCTAAGGCAGGGTGGGGCAGAGCTTTGAAAGTGATATCTTACTACAAGAGAAAGAGATTCAAGAAACAAGCAGGCAATTCAATTCACCAGTACCCACACATAACTGAACTAATTTTGGATGGACTGGCTGTACAAAGGACTATAAATACAAATCCACAGAAGCCTAGTAAAAAAGAAGAATAATGCATTGTACTACTGCAGGGCTTTGATAGCGGAAGCAAGGTGTAATGAGAGATACAATAGGTACAGTTCAAAAGTTAGTATGTAATGCTGTGGTTTTATCTGGCGTGTTATACTAAATATGTTGTCATTTATGGCAAGCCACAAGCAATCTGCCTTACTATGGTGGCTGCTTGGTTAGTACTTTATGCAGTAATTGGACTTATTCTTTGCCATTAAAATTTGCAGGACACCAATTGATAACTTCACATGATCACATGGTATTATACCCAACCCTATTTTCCCTTAAATCCTCAGGTTTACTCTGTATAATAAACTCCTAAATGTGAAATATAGGACTGTACCCTTTCCTTTCGCTAACACACTGAAAAAACATTCTACTTATGGTATTGCTATATTACTTAGGTCATCCTTTGTACTGTTTAGGTCTCAGGACCAATTAAAGTAAATTAATGATCTATGGAATAGCATGTAGTAGCAAATTATGACACTAATGGCCACCAGATATTTATTTCTAGCTTTAATTTTAACTGAAAGCATTAGAAAACCTATTTCTCAAAAGCAACAGTTAATGCAAACAATGTACGCAACCAACAGCTTTACACATCTTCTCTGAAAAAGACCTTTCTGCAGAAATATGTCAGTGAAACAGTTAAATAGCCTATTATTTTACCAAAGTGAAATAAAGCCTCTAAAAAAATGAGAAAATCAATGAGTTTCAATTCCAGAAGGACTCATGCACATGTATTTATGTATAACCACGGGCAGGAGAAGGGGAGAATTGATCAACTTTATTTTAAAAGATAACAAATCGTGCTATGTCCAGCCAAAACTAGATTTATAAACTGTATGCAAGAACATTACTCTAAAAAACTTCATATTTGAAGCCAACATACTTTACTTAGATGCCCAGCGGCCTAAGTTGAAAACTCAATGACAGCAAAAATAATCATTTTCAATGTTGGATGCAATTATTTTTGGCCCAATCCTAGCCAAAGCGTTATATCAGGTCATCTATGACCAGCCACAGGGTGCTCAATTTGGCATCTACCTCTACAAATCTATGTAAAAACAAGAGAGAGTGAGACTATGCAAACCTGCACAACAATTATTCACCATAAGCATCAGTCCTTTCAAGTAGGTTTTTTTTTTCCACCTCTCCTGTCTCCAGAAAGTATTATCCTGTTCATGACAGGTGAAAAAATAAAGTATTCACACTAAGGGTCCAATGCATTTTCTTGGGTCCAGAGAAATCAAAAAAATCCCTATTGCAAAGGGTCTTTTTAACTTTCCAGGGAAGGTCCAGACTAAAGCTGGCCATACACTGCAAATCAAGGACCGGACAAAAAATTCATACAGTGGGTACCCCTGTCGGCACCCTTCTGTCCGACATCCTTTGTTTAGAAAATCAAAAGCTGCTGGATGGAAAATCTTTGGGCAGAGGGAAAAAAAAATCGCTCGCTGCTGTCAGAATACAATGAACACAGTGGGAGATTTGTCCATCCACATTGCTTAATAAAAAAAATAACAATGTATGACCAGCTTTAGCTTCTTTCACAACTATATAATCTTCCCTTCATGTCCCAGATATACTGTCTCATGGAGAGAATACTTTTCTTTTGCAGGAGGCAGTCCTAACTGATTAGCTTTTGCTTTCCCGAAATAAACTCAGACATAACCACCGTCCTTTAATATGGTGCTGCTAAGACAGGGACCACAACATAAACTGATAGAAGGGCTTAACTTTGCTGAGGGATTCTTCAAAATGTGGATAAAACCCACTCCAACATTTTTTATTTTTATCAGATGGACTCGCATATGGAACCTGAGGTTATTGAGGAGTAGAATGATTTGTGGTTGAATGAATCACAACATGGACAAGAACGAAACATTGATAATGAACTGCTCACTTCAGGGGAGCAGAGATAGCAATACAACATAGTGTAGGACGTACATTGATGACCTGTTGATGGACAGGCTCAATTAAAAAAATATAACATGTATGGCCAGCTTTAGAATAGCGGTTTCTGAAATTAATTACCTGAATCCAATCCCTGGATTGACGTGGGCTTGAAATGAATGTATCTTCTGTTCTTCGATGATGTCTGCATCGGGTTGGCTTCTATTAAATTTGCACATGTGCACTACAAAAAAAAAGAAAAACAGAGAATCAAATATAAAAACTATAATTTATATGGAATTAATTAAATAAGAATTGCAGCAGAACAATATGGACTAAACAGTAGATGCTAGTATATTTTGGCATAGGAAAGTTTATTTCAAATGCAAAGAATCCTGGAGCAGGAGAGGTGACTGTAAACAATGGGTTCAATTTACATTATAAAAGGTTAAAGGAGAACTTTGGGCATATGAAATCTTAACCCTTGCAGTGGGGCCACCCCCACACTGCAAGGATTAAGTGCTTGTCTTGTCAAGGGAGTTAAAATAACAAAGATATACTTACCTGAATCTCAGACACGGCTGGCTGCTAGTCCGGTCCCTGCAGACTCGCTTCTCCCATACACTCTGGCGATGGAATATCCCTTGGCGTCCTCACATCCAAAACACTGTATCAGATGTGATCAGGACCTTAGACTGCCAGAGCGGAGGGGGAGTGAGACTTGCAGGCCTGTAAGGCCATTACAAATTGCAGTGTGCAGCAGCCACACACATTCACTTTTACTATACACAGATACAAATTAGTGCTTAATGAAGTACAACCTGAGTGTTGTTGCCTTAGCAACCAACAATATTATAATTTTTAGGGTAGATATGAAAAGGGAAAAAAAATTGCGCACCCAAATGAGCAATACATTTAGTGTTCATTAGATCAATTCTTGAAGGAATTTTTTATATCGTTCCAGATAGTCTGGTTCATTTTTCAAGTAACGGTTTCAGATTTTTCAGTATATAAACATATAACATGTGTATACTGCTGAAAGTAGAGAAGCACAGATTTGTATTTTACTTTTTTTATTATACAGGATTCATATAGCGCTAACAGTTTGTGCAGCACTTGACAAAATTGAGGGCGACAGTACAGTTATGAAATAATTTCAATACAGGAGGGTTAGGAGGACCCTGCTTGTGAGAGCTTACAATCTAGTAAAGTTTAAAGAATTTAGTTTATCAGCTTGGCTCATCTATATCCAAGAGGACATCACTACCTAGTATATGGTGCTCCCATAAGATGTCCCATTAAATCCTTTTTGTCCTCCTTTGTGAGGAACATACAGCTCTCAACCATTGTTCCTACAGACCACCTGCTTGTTTTGGAGCAGAGTATATGACTCAAACCATGCAGCCGACAATGGCTCTGCCACAGAAGCACACGAATATCAAACAGCAGGTTGTAAAGTAATTAGACAGGCCAATGTCAGAAAAGTTGCTGGTGGTCCTTCCTACCTCCTCCATTGTAAGTTACATTTTAGAGCAGAAGTGTTTGCGTCTTTAAATGCATTCATGAAGCCAATATGAGAAGCAGCCATAAAGACAACTCACAAAGACCACATCCAAAGGAGTGTGGGAAGCTGCTCATTTATTGAAGAAAAATATGATGATCTTGCTCAATTAGGAAATGTTTTCTGCAAAGTAAATGTGTCCAAACCAGATGTGATGATTAAAGGCATTGATTTGTTGAAATTACAAATGTGTGGACCTTCAAAAAACAATATTTTTTCCAATAACAAGAACAAAGGAGAACTTCAAAATCAGCAGTTGGTAACTGAACTGAACTTATTTTGTCTGTCAACATAATCTTTTTGCATGTAAAAAAAAAACTAGAGAAAGGCTGCAAGGAGTGCGACTTAGAACCTTTATTACTTTTAGTTTTGAAACCCCTGCCAGGACAGAAGTGAGGGAAATTCTTCTATTGGAGTCCTGGATAACAGTAAAAATCTGACAGTTTGTAAACATTCCCAACTCCATCAAAATCTAACAAAAAAAAGTTTTGGCTTGACATGCATTTAAATGTATATTCATTAATATTAAACCACACTGCAGTTCTAGAGAGGGCATAAATGAAAGCCTCCACATTCTTCAAAACCATCAGCCTCCAATATGAAAGTGTTTACTTGACATCTAATTCCCTCTGAAGAACCACATCTGTTCAGTCTATTCAAGAAATGTCAATGTTATTGGTAAAAAATAAACTTGTCTTGGTAACAAATTTTACCAGGGGCTGGTACGGGTTCTGCGACTGTCCAACACCTTTTTTTGGGGGGTCCTTGTTCTTATTGTTAAATGTACTAGGCTCTGCTCCATCAATTGCATTCTAATTGGTGCAGTTACTGTTTTCTTGTGAGAGATCCTGTGTCTCATATTGCATCTTTTATTGCAAATATTGTATATTGCCTCATGCCTAGCTCCTTCACATGTATTTTGTTATACTGGAGAGTATCCTTTACTTGTTATATTTCTTGTTGTTGAATTTTTTTGAACTTTACAAAAAATGTTTTTAATAAAGCTTCTAATATTAAAAAAAGTGAATGGTGAACCGGGGCAAAGGATCACTCAAATGGAGTCACTCTCTAAGGCACAGAATGGCTCCTTCATGCAAGAGTCAGGTATTGCCTGGAACACTGGGCTGGTTTGAGGGAAGGACAGCAACACTTTAGTTGCAGAAAAAGTACATTAGATTTTAATGTTTTTTTTTTGTTTTTTTTACTAAAGGGACTTGTGCAGCATTTCAGCTACAATGTGTAAGACAAAACGATATGCTAGGTACTTATATATGTAGATACACGTGACCATAAACAGAATACAACTGCAAGTAAGGATGATTGATAAGCTTATTATATATGTAGGTACATTTAGACCATTGTATATGTATTTATTATATTATTATGTAAAGGCAGTCATTTTTTAAAGGAAAAACTATAACCCTTTTTAATTTCGTTTTATAAATACAAAGATAAGCTCGTCCTAAGTAATTGTATCACTTTGTATACAACCCAATTACCAAAATTTTATATAAACTATTCTCAAATTAGTTACGTTTCCCATCCATGCTAAACAAAATGGATAAATAAGTTTCCACCTGCCGGTTATTCAGTTGTTGTATACAAGGTACCAAAACTGGATGCAGTCACTGTTCGGCCGACAATTTCCCACCCAGCTCCTTCAAATATTGTTTATTATAATTGTGTGATTTCATTATGATGAGACGTGCCTTATTGATTTATGTGAAATTTATTAAGTCCACTTTAACAACAGTGAAATCTGACAAGGCAGGTATACTTTTTGTATTTTGCTTTCAGGCTGAATGTGGTTTCTAAGAGCACAGCTTGTCCTTTTCAAGCACGCACCACACGCGTTTTAATTCAATTAATGTCAATGGGAAAGCATCTGAAATGCATGGCAAATACAGTACATGCATTTCAGATGCATTGGAAATGTTTTCACGGTTCCTATTCAAACGCTATTGACAATGACCTTGTTAATAAAAACAGACATTTTACAAAAGATGAAGCTTACAGACAGTAGAATCTATTCAAACCTGTTTCAAAGGCATTTCAAATGCACCCAGTGCATGTCTTGTTTAACTAAGACACATTTAGGATTTTTACCAAGGGATACTTTTGTCTTCATCAGCTTGCAATGTCTGTGTACACAAGGGTTTACCATGGAAAGAATAAAGATATTTGGTAAATACTGAGCTTCATCTATCCTGCTGAAGTCTGCCACATTAGGCTTTCTTGCGACACACGGTTTTAAATACCAGTCCAAATGTAGCTTTTTTAAAATTATTTGTAAGTTTTCTTTTTATTATTATTTAGTATTTATTAGAAGTGTCCAGAGCTTGGATGAAAAATAATTTTTTGCTTTAACAGTAGTATTGGACTTAACACATTTATTGGCCACTGACGAGTACATATGCCCTCAAGAGGGGCAGAGAGTTCTGGCTGCCACAACCTTCCTCCCTCGACTTGAGTGATTTTCAATTACAGAGCATTACCTACAATGAAGTTATTACCCTCAGGAATGATCCTAAATCCCTCACAGGGGTTTTACACACATTCATTATAGCATGTATGTTGACTCCTACATGTTGCTAGATTATAACAAGAAACTAAGACATGTCACACTCCTTGACAATTTTGGCCATTCATAGGAAGCAAATGCAATAAAATAAAAAACAAATATAATGGACATAATGTACACCCAATCTGGATAGTTATAAATTAGGCAAAATTTTTAGTGTTTAGGCTCAACCGTGACATCTCTGCATCATGTCTGGCCAGCTGATCCCAGGGAACTAAGGAAGAGCTTTGGAAAGATGTTCCTAGGCGACTGCTATTATGCCTCTTGGGATAACCAAGAACTTAGGTGCTCTTCTTTTGTTCCTCCATAGGCCAAAACAAGCAAGTGTTCCCAATGCAGACATGTATGATCAACAATCTTTTGTAAGAAACTAGCTGTCGCCTACTTTATATAGGTACCTTAAACGCAACAAACCTTTACAGTATCATTGAAATAACAGATTACATAACTGGAAAATACTTTGTCCTCATATTATTCTCAGTATCTAAGAAAGATTTCAAAGATCAATTAGTTAAAGCAAATAAAATGTTCCCTGGGAATAACTTGTTTCTAAAAAGCCTTAGGCAACAATGCAACTGATCTAAACTTACAGCATTGGAAGAGAAAAACGAAAATGACACATTGGCAAAATAATTAAAGAACTCCAGGATTTTTTTTTAACCCTTGTAGTAGGGCTACCCCTGCACTGTAAGGGCTAAGTGCTTGTTGGTGTCTAGGTGCTAAAATAGCAAAGATATACTCACCCAAAGCTCCGCCCCTCCTTTTGTCTGTATACCGTATAGAAGTTGGTGAATTATGGGACCTTAGACAGCTGCAGAGGTGGGGGGAGACGTTGGAAGGACCGGTCTAAGAAGAAGCATTGGGTGAGTATATATTTTCTTTTTTACCTAGACACAAACTAGTAGTCCACCCTTGCAGTGTGAGGGTAGGTCCAATGCAAGTGTTAGTAAAATAAAAATTCCTGGAGTTCTTCAATAGAAAAGCCAATGTAAAGAAGCAGAAAGGTATGCACAGGCGACAAACTATAGATATGACACTGGCATACAAACCTATTGGCACCCAGAGACATTAAACAATGTAGGACAATGTCCTGTTGCAGCGG